AATCCTCCTAATGCTGTGACGCTTTAATACAGTTCTTCAGGGTGTGACCCCAACCGTAAAATTATCTCCATTGCTACTTCATAACTGTAATTTTTATATGGTTATGAATCGTAATGTAAATAGTTTTGAAGACAGAGGTTTAGCAAAGGGGTCGTGACCCACAGGTTGAGAACCACTGACTTAGACCTCCTCAACTCACAGAACAAATTTAAACCTAACATCTCCGCATGGAAGCGCAATAGGAACCATTAGCTACACCAGGCCAGAGGAGGCGCGGGTGGTGGCCAGCCCTGTCAGAAGCATGTACACTCCCATTCGCCCATTTATGGCCCTTGGATTCACTAACGAACTGAACAGAATTGGGGGTTTATAGTTCACAGAAATACAAGTAAGATCTGGCGCTTGGTTTCAAAAGCCTCAGCTGAGTAAGGAAGGACAGGGCTTAGGAGTCGCAGACATGCTCAGTTAGGGACAGTGTGGTCCAGGTGCCAGAACAAAGAGGCCCCGTGGCTGTATTAATGGAACGCTATGTTTCCACTGGAAAGTGGGGGACAACTCCAATGGGGTCTAGCAGGCCAACCCCGTCCTCCCATTCTCTCCTCCGGAAGCCAGGGGCTTGTTGGATATGTAAGAGCTGCCTCCCACATTCTGTCTCCTTCAGTCTCCCTGCCCTGGTGACAGCGCTTTACATTCAAGTACAAGAAAGACCATGAGTCCTTCTTGTCCTACTCTCTCCCCTTCTTTCTGCACATTCCTAACCATGGCTGTGTCCCTAGTGACTATAGTTTCTGTCTGAAGCCCTTGCAAGCTGGGCCTGGACCACACCTGTAATCCTGCTTACTCAAGAGGCTGAGGTAGGAAGACTAAAGAATTCAAGACCAGCCTGAAGTGAAATCCAGTTTCAAAATAAAAATAAGTAGAAAGAGAGCTAGGACATCCGGGGAGTTTTTGCCACACAAGCACAAGAGACCCAAGCTCAGATTTGCACCACCCGCTTAAAAAGCAGGGCACAACAATCTTCAGTCTCATCAGTGAGTGCCAGTTTCATTAAGAGAAGAGACTTGTTTCAAAAAAAAAGGTGGCAGCTGTCAAAATGGCTTAGCTGGTAAAGAAGATGATTAAGCCAGCCTGGTGACCTCCACATAGGCACCATGGCACATGCATGCTCCCCAACACACACATCATGGGAACACACACTAATAAAAAAATAAATAAAGGTGGACAGCAATTGAGGAAAATGCCCAGCATTGGCCTCTGCCCTGTGCATACACGCAAACATGAACATATATCATACACACATGTGGGGCAGGGGGAGGGGGACAGGTGAGCCCACTGAGGATGTGGCTCAGTGGTACCATCCTTGCTCAGCACGTACAAAGCCCTAAGTTTATGTCCCAGCACCACAAAGGACAGCCACAAAATCAAGAGCTGGGGAATTGGCTCTGAGGTTAAGAGCTCTTGATACTCTTCTAAAGGGTCCAAGTTTGATTTTCAGCATCCACGTAGCAGCTCAGAACTATCCTGTAACTCCAGTTCCGGGGGATCTGATGCCCTCTTCCGGCCTCTGTGGACACCAAGCACACACATGGTACAGACATACATGCAAACAAAGCACTCATACACATCATAAAAAAATAAAAATAAAAAAACAAACCGGGCTGCAACTCCAAATGGAGTCCATTTACCTTTCCTGTCCCTTTATGTCTTGGGGGAAGGGGACAGCGACAGCTTGTTCCTGTTGCCCACCCTCCAACCCGTGGCCCTCAGGCTACCACAGCCAAGGATGGCTGCCAAGGCTGCCTGACACAAAATCATAAGCCCAGGCTACCCATGGCCAAGGATGGCTATCAGGAGGGCTTAACACAAAATCATAAACCCACATAAACATAAACATTTTGAAACATCCATGAAATTTTGGTGGGGGGTAACTCGACGATGGCTCTGGATCATCAACATCGTGTCACGTCGTGGGAAGGTGGGACACACCTGCCATTGTAGCATCGCTTCTTGGTTCTCACACTCTTGCCTGTGGCTCTGTGAATAACTCCCTCACTGCAACGCACGATGCTTGGGTCACAGAAACCTGGCTGAGGTGTCGAAGGAATGAAGAAAGAACAGACACAAGGACTTGCAGGCAGAAAAGCTGGGGTCAGGTGGGCCATGCGCACTCTGGTGGCAGTAACTCAGAACTGCTGCATGTTTTTATGGACGGCATGGTGGGAGGGGCTTGGCCGGGGTTGGAGGAGGTGTCTGTATGTCTGTAGGTAAGGACGCTTAGGCTTCAGCATCCAGGAAGAGGAAGCTCTGATTGTTGGTTTCTGCATACATTGGTCGATCGATCACAACACTCATACTTTCACACACTGTCAATATTTCCACTCAGACCAGAGGAAGGCTTTGCCCTCACTCTGAGCCTGACGTGGCGGGAAAGCTTTGCCAACTTCCACGGGTCCATGGCTTCTGTGCTTGACATGGCTGGCTCATATCAAACAACACACATTCCCTCAGGACTTTATTCCCTCAGGACTTCACTCTCTCTCTGCTTCTTCATTAATTATTTTCAAAATCCCATCCAAATTAAGTTTCCTCAGGCCTCTGCTGAACGGAAAAGACAGGATGCCAGAGAGCATTAAGGTCACATCCCTGAGGAGTCGCTGTAGGGACATTGGATACTGGGCTTGGTCAAGAGGAGACTCCAGAAAAGTAGTACAGTCTATTTCAAAAGGGTCAACGCCACATCAGTCTCCAAGAGATGAGGCTCAGACTGACCATTTTTGGACTAAAATAAACCTTTCTCACAGTGGGTAACAGTGGTGTGGGCACTGCGGTCCAGTGACAAGCCTCAGTAATTCTGAGCTGCCATTCTTCAGGTAGATGAGCTCCTACCAGGAACCCAACCTGAGGAAAGGACCTCCCACGCTGGGAGCTCATGATCAGTCACCCACTGTGCACTAATCAATGGTTTACCAAAACACCTGCCCACAATTTCCACTTCTGTGTTATCAGAGACCTGTGGTTGCAAAATACTGAATGGAAAATTCCAGAAATAATTCCCAAGTTTTATGTTGCACACCATCTCCTTAGCATGATGAACTTTTGCTTCATTCCACACCTTCCTGCCTGGGACAGGAGTCCTGTGGATCCAGTCCTAGCAGGCATTGGTAACTTAGTAGCCATCTTTGTTATTGGCTGGAGGATGGGCCTGACCTAGCACAGCAAAGCCTGTCATACTAAATACAATCTGTTACTATTATTGTTATTGTGTGTGCGCATGTTGCTTGTATGTGGGCATTCTGGCAAAGATCAGAGGTCAACTTTGTGGAGGCGGTTCTTTCCTTCCACCTTTATGCAAGTCCCAAATCACCAGTCTGCGGTGGCAAGTGCCATTACCCACTGAGCCATTTAGCTCAGCCATGTTAACACACAGGTTCACCATAGCCACGTACAGGAAAAAGCATACTATGTGTCAGGCTCAGCACAGCCCATAGTACTGGCCATCCACTCGGCATCTTGGAGCAATTCCCCCAGAGATAAGGGAGAACGAGGAATAACAGTAACTTGGGGGGAGGATGTTTTGTATACTCATGCTGCAATCCTTTTGTTTGTTTGTTTGAGACAGGGTTTCTCTGTGTAGCCTTGGCTATCCTGGACTCACTTTGTGAAGGCTGGCTTCGAACTCACAGAGATCCTCCTGCCTCTGCCTTCCTGAGTGCTGGGACTACAGGCGTGCGCCACCATGCCCGATTCATGCTGCAATCTTAACAACAGACATTTAGCTCGTGCGTTGAGTTTACCAATTAAACACCAAAAGGCTTCCATACTTCAGGAGACTAAGATCATGAGTCATCTCCTAGTTTATCACCTCAGACCTACTAAGCAGTCTCCAGAAATCATCTGGGGGCTTGTGCGGTGACACAGAGGTAGAGTACTTGCCTAATGTCACTGAGGCCCAAGATCAACCTCCAGTACCATAGAAAGGCACAATCAATCAATAGCAAGTAGGGCAGGCCTGTAATCCCAACTACTTTGGAAGCTGAGGCAGGAGGGCCACAAAGTCCTGCCTGGGCTACACAGAGGAGGCTCAAGGTTAGCCCGCACAACTTAGAGTCTGAAAGAAAAGGAGCAAGAAGGTGGAACTGTAACAGACCCAAAGCCCTCTAAATTCAGTCCCAGCTCTGCTCGAGAGAGAGAGAAAGCATTTTCAACCAACGGCCTTTATTCACGCACCTATCACTAGACTGATTTTTGAGAAGCAACTCTTGATTTAATACACCCAAAAGCTAACTCTGCCTACAGAACAAAGCATTTTACACAGAAACTATCCTGGAGACAAACAGCAAAAAAAAAAAAAAAAAAAGAAGAGAGAGAGAGAGATTGCTCCAATTCATCGTGGCGGAGAAAAGAAAGTGGTATTTTTTTTTAAAGCTTGAAATGGAATGCGCGGGTTCACAGCAGGGTCACGGCCCTTAGGTGTACAGAGTTTATCCTCTTCCCCTCGCCACCTCGCCGGTTCCTTCATCTCTCTTTCAGTCAACTAACATTTTTTACAAATCATCACACAAGCCGGGGGGGGGGGGGGGGGGGGGGGGGGGGGACGGGGGTACCCGCGAGAGATTCAAGGAGGCCAGCGCCGCTTCACCAAAGGACCTGAAGGCGCCCGGGCAGCGACGGCGCAGCAGAGACCAATGAAGGCTGAGAGCGGGGAGTGACGGCGCCCGAGAAAACTTTCCAGCAGAAACTTGGCAAATGCCAGCCCTCGGGCGCGCAGAGGGCGGGGACAGCGGCCTAGCGGAGGGCGCAGGGGACCGGCTGGGCCTGGGCTCCGGGACAACAGCCACCCGGAGCTTGGACTCCGCCTGTGGCCCAGCGATGACACCGACCCGGTCGGGGCCTGGGAGGCGACGCGGGGAGGTTGCGAGGCGCGTCCCGGCACTGCCAGGGGGGCCCCCAGCCCCAGGCTCCCGGGTCCCCGCAGCGCCCACGGCCTCGGCTGCTCCTACCTTCCTTGGCTTTCTTCCTCCGGGCCAGCGTCCCTCCGAGTTTCCCCAAGAACGAGTCATCCTTCTTGCGGGACGGAGGCGACTTGGGGGTGGGAGATTTGGGGACCGAGGGCGACTTCTGCGGGGATGTGGCCATGGCGGCGGGACGCGGAGCTGGAGCTGGGGCGGCCGCGGCGGGCGGTGGCGGGACTGAGGCTGCGGCTTTCCAAACGGAAGCGGAATTATTCCAGGCATTTGAGGCAGCTCGCTCGCCTTTCCCGTCCCTCGCTCCCTCCCTCGCGCCGCCCTCCGCCCTGCAAGGAGCTGCTGCGCCTGGGGCCCCGCGCCCCGGGCTACCCCGGCTTCGAGGATGCCCAGGCCTGCCTGCAGCTTGCTGGGGGCTTTGCATGCAGGGACACGTGCATGCTAGGGGGACGTGAGGCCTTATCTGGAACCTGGAAGCCTTCACTTCTCCCCTGCTTTGCACACACATACACACACACACACACACACACACACACACACACACACACACACACACAC